CATGGTCGACCTAGGCAGTATATGCAAGATGAACTCACTGATCTCTATTGCCATTTAATTAGCTTTATTAACATTTCTAGCTTATGTAAGACCTGTCTTAGTTGTTGGTCGGTCAGTACATAAATCGCATGAGCTTGAAAATATAGCATGAGTTTTTTGATCGAAATGACAATTACGTAAGCTAGTTTTTTATTGATTTCTCAATACCTTACTCATAAAATAGATCGATCTTTGTTTCCTTTTTTTTTCTCAGATTAAGATTTAGCTAATCGCTTAGTCTATGGTGGCCATGTATAAGTACAAGATCTCATCGAATCCTAACTTAGATAGAATAGGTAGAGAAGATAAAAATTGTTTGTGTTTTTCAAAAATTTTTTGACATTAAGGAGTTCACCTGAAGTTAGAGACATTTTTAAAAATTTTAAAGAATGATAGACATTGTTTTGCTAACCTGGACATGAATCGACTCAAGGTGGCCATTTTACTAGTTAACCTCTATACTTTTTTATTGAGGTTGGTGCTTTTATGTTTAGGATTGCTTGAACTTTTTTCGATTTGTCTTTATCCCCCTTTGGTTGATTATGAAACCGAAAAAGTTACTTAACATGGCTTCGAATACACATTTATTCGGGTTAAGCCTCATATTATATTTTTTCAAGGTATTAAAGGTCTCTTTAAGATCTTTTAGATGCTTAATCAAGCTTTTACTTTTGACTATCATATCATCTATATATACTTGTATGTTACGATCTATCTGATTTTTAAATATCTTATTCATTTACTTTTAGTAGGTAATTCTTATATTCTTCAATCTGAAAGGCATTACCTTGTAACAGTAAAGGCTTTTTTAGGTGATAAAGGTTATTTTTTCCTCATCATCCCTTAGTATTTTAATTTGATTGTAACCAAAATAGGCATCTATGAAGTTGAGGAGGCCATGCTAGCACTATCGTCTATCAGTCGATCTATGCTAGAGAGAAGAAAGATATTTTTGGGGCATGCTTTATTCAAGTTGGTAAAGTTAAAACACATATTTCATTTTTTACTATGCTTTTTAACTATGATCATGTTGACTATCCACTTAAGGTAGTAAACCTCACTAATAAAGCTTACTTACAACTCTTATTCGATGGTCTTTTATCTTTCTAGGACAAATTTTCTCTTCTTTTATCAAATTGATTTTATCTCAAGATTAATATGCTACTTGTGGACCATCACTTTGATATCAATCCCGGGCATATCAGATGGTGTCTAGGCAAATAGGTCAGTATTATCTCTCAGAAGTTGGATTAACTAATCCCTATGTTGAAGTTTGGTTTCAATTTGCATATGTTTTTTAGGGACGCTATCCCAAAACAGTATGGTTACCAGATCTTCAGATGGCTTAGGTTGGCTTTCATTTGAGTTTGATCTTTGGTCAATTTTTCTTTATTTGGTTAGGTTGAGACCATTTTCTATGAAAACAGATCCCGACGTGATGATCAATTTGTTGTTAATTACTTGTTAAATATATATGTAATAAAATTGGTATGTATTTTTCATTTCATATTGTATTTTGGTCGACCTATTAGCTCGATCCAAATGAGAAGTAGTTTTTCATGCTAGTTGAAAAGATCGATCGTCTTTAGAGTTACCTCAAAAAATTTAAAAAATAGAACAAATTTTTTTTTTCTAGAGCTTAAAAGCTCAAAGCCACTTAAAAGTGTGTTTCTATCAGATAGGTCTTACGTTCTATGTTTTTGGTTATGGCTTGTTGATTCTTGTCAGCCTTCACTGTCTGCCCATTCTCAGTGTTTTTATTCTCGATCAAGGTTTTAGTCTACTTCTCAATTCTCTTTTTCATTGTGGTGACATAACACTATCGTGTTATGGATTAGTCTCCATTGACCTTTTCAACCCCATTGGGTGTTAAAAATTTCACTTTCAGATGGAGAGTTAAAACTATTAGTTGTATAATAAATTGGCTAGGTCGATCTAATATCATGTTGTAGGTTGATGGGACATCGATAATCTTAAATTTTATGATCAAGATGATAGTATTTGGTTTTATTTTTAAAAAAATTGATAGCTTGATTGTTCTTTTCACCAGTACCTATTTATTCTTAAATTTTATTAGTCTCGTAGTGATCGGTTGTAGCTGGTATTCACTGATTCTCATTTTCTTCTTAGTATCATAATACATGATGTCGATTAAGCTCCTATTATCAAACATGATTCTTTTAACTATATAGTTGTATACCATGACTGTGATCATTATAATGTCGTCATGCGGGTGCTGGATTCCTTTAAGATCTTTTAAGCTAAATAAGATTGGTTCATCTCTCCAATCTTTATTTTCTCTTCGTCAATGTGCCTATTACCATGACCATTCCTTGATTGAACTTTTTTTTGGTCGAGGTGGAACTACCTTTAGTCATCACATTAATCACCTTGATGATCGACCTATTATTATCAATTTAGACCTCTTTTTGAATTGGTTCATCTTCTTAGACTTTTTTTCTTTTATTTTTAGCCTTTTCTCTTTATTTCGAGTGTGTTCTCTTTGGTCTTATCTATAGTCTGTTCTAGGTTGGCCCTATTTTCATTACTCTACAAACTTTTTCAACTGACCTCTCCTTATCAGGGCTTCGATCTCATTTTTTAAGTCGACGCAATCTTTAGTATATGGCTTATATCATTATGAAAGGCATATTTTTTGATTGGATCACTTCTTATATTTTGTTTTAGTGACTTTGGCCATCTGAGGTCAGAGTTTCTTTCAATTGCATAAAAATCCTTTCTCGAGAAGTATTCAATGCAGTGTAGTTTCTTTCTCTAGTAGGGCTTTTAGCCCTATATCATTTCCCTTCGGGGAAGGATTGTAGAAATCCTTGCCTTTCTTACTACCAAGAAGGGGGATGAACCTCTCTCACTTTGGTCGCTGAGGGAGGGAATGAGCCTCTCTCACCTAGATTATTTTTCAATGTATCTTTGGCATTTATATATTTCTCAGCTATCAACAGGATGTTGGCCAAAGTTTTAGGTGGTTCTAATGACAAGGTTAGCTTCAGTTGGTACTTTTTATCATTGAGTCCACTTGTCAGGACAGGCACAATGACTGTTTGTTTTAGGTTTTTAACTTACAAAGCCTCCATGTTAAAATGCGTGATATAGCTCTTCAACGATTCACTACGACCTTGGTGGATCGACATTAGACTCAGAGTTATTTTTTTCATTCTTCGACTACTTAAAAATTAAAATATGAAAAAATGGCTGAGCTTTTTGAATGTCATAATTGACCTTGGTTTTAGGCTATTATACTAAGATCGAACTGCGCCCTTCAGAGTGGTAGCTAAGGCTTTGCACATTAGGGCTTCGTCTGCATCTACATTATCTTATTAGTCCTATAAAGTTTCAAATGCTCTAAAGGGTTAGAAGTACCATTGTAAGTCTCCAAGGTCAACATTTTAAACCCCTTGGGAGGCATGGCTCTATCGATTTCTTCAATGAAAGGTGAGGTCTCCATAAACTTAAGCTCATCCTCAAATGCTACTGTTTTTGTTTTTAGCTTTTTCTCTATGGCTTGCATCCAAGCTTTTAAGTCCTTGTTTGGTTGGGGTTCAGGGTTTATTTGTTTGGAATTTTAGATTTTTGGGTTATGGCATATGTCGAATTGTAACTAGGGTAATGGCAAATTTGAGTATTATGCTCCTTTTATCTGGAGGTTGATGAGGCTTCTAGCTTCTCATAGCTTGGTTGTCTTATCGCTGTTCTTCAACCAGGGGTGATTAGGTTGGGCACCTTCGAAACTAATGTGAGGTTATAGTTTGTAGCATCTGTTTAAAGGTCTGTATTTGCTCTGTTAAGGCTTGAAATTATTTTATGTTCAAGCCTGTCTGTAGTGGGGAAGGTCGTTTTAAGTGCTGACTATTATGTGTTTCTATTTCGACCGAAATGACCACCTTTCCTTCCTCTAAGATTCTTTTCATTAGTGGCATTGTTTCATGCTTAGCTACTGAATGAAAATGGCCCCTACTTGATATGCCAAATGTTTGTATCAAGCTCCAATCTTAGGGTCATATCCTAGAAATAAGGATGGTTAAAAGACAAAAACATGGAACAAATGAGATCAGAAGGAGAGTAATAAGGAGAAATAAGAGTAGTCGAAACTTATTTTAATTGTCTGAACTTTCGTATTTATAGATAAGCAATAGAAGATCCTGAGAGACAACAAGGACAATATCGAGCTAATGTGGCACTCGATGTGTCAAGCCAACTTGATCTGATATATCAAATTGATACAAATGATAAAATTACCTCTAATTATCTGCTATGGGCTTTTAATATGAAAAAAACCTCTATATTCTTTTAATCACCAAATTTCCGAAATAAAACCTATTTATTTTTGTTTGTATAAATAAAGATAAAAAGGGTCAATGCATTTTTTAAAGAGAAAGAGAAACAGAAGGAAAAAGAATAGATTATACATACATCATATCCGTTTATGAAAGAGCGAACAGCGGAGAAAACGTTGACGGACGGCAATGCAGAGAATCGCGGTTAGAGAGGTAATAAGACTAAAGCACCGTTGGTTCTCGCTCTTACTCTTGCGCTTGAAAACGCTCTCTGCTGCACTCCCTCGCCGCCCTCTGGATCTCTAGCTCTCGCCAATTTTTGTTTACTGAAACATTTTTCGCATCTCTAACTAAAACTACAGCTTTGAGAATTCCTTTTTTCAGATTTTAGTTGTTCGTTGGCGAAAGCGGGAGACTTTCACCAGCTATTCAAGGCAGTCAGCTTCCAATGCCACGTTTCGGTTGTCGAATGGGACTACCCTACACCTGACGGTATTCTACCATTATTGTTTTGTTTATTTATTTATTCGTTTTGTAAAAAAGGGTCCATGGACTAAAAACAGTTCTGCAGCCGTCAGATTTCATCTGATCAAACGATCAGTAATTTCAGGGTTTTGTGATTAACTGAAATCTTTTATTTCCATTATCAGTGAGTCAGACTGATACGTTAGCTCATTATTTTAAGAAAGAACAGCAGCCTTTTTCCTACGTTAGCTCATTTACTAACAAACTCTCTTTGTCCAAAGCAGATGGATAAGAATTGAGGAAGAAAAAGGAAACTCAGAGATGGAGAAAAGTGAAGGAATTGAGGGAGAAAATGGAATTACAGAAGAGAAGCAGGGCTTTAAGGATGGATCAATTTGTGGATATGACTCACTTCACCGCCTCTTGAGCGCAAATCTCAAACCTCAAATCTTCCAGGTCTTTCCTTTTTTAAACTTTTCAACTCTTTTTCGTTTCTGGGTTGTAATCGATTTTTTTTTTTTTTTTTAACTTTGTTGATTTGATTGGGGTGCTTTAATCTGGGTTGACAAGATTGTATACTGACCTTGTACTGGAAAAAATCCAATCTTGCCGGTTATTTTAGTAGCTTATACCTTTTATCAAGGATGAATTGTGGCTTTGACTGGATCAATATTGGCTGATTATGAGGAAATCCAATTCAAATTGTCAATTATGACTAGATTCGTTATTGTAATTTGGATCACTGTGTGCCTCTGAGATGATCGTTGGAATTGATCCTCAGAAGTTGTAGAATTTTTACCTCACTAAAAAATAAAATATCTTTTGCCTACTCAGAGTTAAAATGTACTGATATTAATGCTGATAAACTGTTGATGTGATTTATTTACAGGAAGTCAGCCGGTTGATTCTGGGGCTGAATTGTGGAAGAGCACTTGAAACTATTGTTCTTCCTGAATCAGCTAAAGCCCTCTCTTCAAAACATGATTTTGAGCTCCAGGTGCATATTTATCCAAACTTGTTGTGTCATAATGGATTGGTCAATTTGGAGATTTATCATCTAAGTCATTGATATCAGAAAACACTAACCTCAAGTTTGGCCTGACTGATATCCAAATATAAAACAATCAAAGTGAAGGAATAATTTATGTTTTGAACACTTTAGATATACAAGGCACTACCACACATTTTGAAGGGAACTGAAAACTGTGTTAATCAGTCTTTAGCAGGGTTAGTTATTCTATGTCTTAGATTGTTCTGAATTTCTTATCAAATATATTTCCTCCTTTTTCTTTTCAATTTCTAATTAATACATTTTGAATATGTGATTAGAATACTTTCAATGTCTACTTTACTTGTATCTGGACCGTCTTATAGATGGTCCATTGATTTCCTTGGAAATATGTTGATTTTCACTCAAGCTAGCTACCCTTCTCTAGAAGGTTGAGAATCGTTCCTTCTCTTGGTAAAAATTAATCTTTACACAGACCTGATCTGAGAAGACTTGTGGTTATTATCTTGGTCATTTTTTATCATTTCGATAAAAGTATATTCTAGAAGATGGCCTAGTCTAAGAAGACAATTATATTTGCTTTTCCATTTCAAATCATGCCAGGCTTTCAGCTTTTCTGCTGACAAAGAGTTGTTGAGAGAACCTCGACTAGTAAGGGTTGGTCTTATTCAGAATTCCATAGCTCTTCCAACTACTGCTCCCTTTTTGGACCAGAAAAAAGCTATCTTTGAGAAATTGGGACCAATAATTGATGCTGCAGGTGCTTCAGGAGTCAACATACTATGCTTGCAGGTATGGTTAAAATATTAGTTTTGATTGATGCTTAATTATTCTGGAAGTCCCAATTAACTACTCATATGATGTAAGTTCAGGAAGCATGGTTGATGCCATTTGCCTTCTGTACACGGGAAAAGAGGTGGTGTGAATTTGCGGAGCCTGTTAATGGGGAATCTACACAGTTTCTTCAGGAATTCGCACACAAGTATAACATGGTCATTATAAGCCCAATTCTTGAGAGGGATGTAAATCACGGAGAGACTCTTTGGAATACTGCTATTATAATTGGAAATCATGGCAACGTAGTAGGCAAGCATCGTAAGGTAAATGAAGTAGTTTATCTGGGTTCCCATTTATGTTCTTGTTAGAGTTTTTTGCTGATTTTGCTTAAATGACTGTGGCTACTGGCAGAACCATATTCCTAGAGTTGGGGACTTCAATGAGAGTACATATTATATGGAAGGAAATACTGGGCATCCTGTTTTTGAGACTGCTTTTGGGAAGATTGCTGTCAACATATGTTATGGAAGGCACCATCCTTTGAATTGGCTAGCTTTTGGTTTGAATGGTGCAGAGATTGTTTTCAACCCATCGGCCACAGTTGGTGAACTTAGTGAACCAATGTGGCCCATAGAGGTTATTCTTTCCCACATTTCACATTTCATTCCTACACAATGTATCTCTCTTTGCAAATACTTAAACATGCTTTTTGCTTCTTTTAAAAATTTAGATTACGATTCTATTGAGATTAAAATTCACCATGAGATTGTTTATCTAATGATTTTTTTTTATTAATAAGAACGATAACTTATATAATGCTAAGTTATCAAAATATTCGATGTGATACTGATCTAGACATATAGTAGACAACCATTTATCTAATATTGTTAATTGCATATGACATATTGACATAGATGTTAGCCTTATATAAGTTAATGCCTACGACTACGTTGTCTTCTACAAGTCATTTGACAGGTTATCCATTTTTTTACAGGCACGTAATGCTGCAATAGCAAATAGTTACTTTGTTGGGTCAATCAATCGTGTAGGGACTGAGATTTTCCCAAACCCATTCACTTCAGGGGATGGAAAGCCACAACATCCAGATTTTGGGCATTTCTATGGATCTAGTCATTTTTCAGCACCAGATGCTGCCTGCACACCATCACTCTCCCGTTTTAAAGATGGGCTGCTGATCTCGGACATGGATCTTAACCTCTGTAGGCAGCTGAAAGACAAATGGGGATTCCGAATGACTGCAAGATACGAGTTATATGCAGATATGCTTGCCCGCTATCTGAAACCAGACTTTGAACCGCAAGTTATCTCTGATCCCTTGTTACATAAGAAGTCTTCTTAAGTTTCAGGTACTAGTTTTATCTCAGAATTTAAGAGAATAAATGAAGCTGAAAACTGAAACTGTATCCAAACAACGTATTGAATTATCAATGCAGAATAAGATCTTTGTATTTGTAAGTACTTGTGTCCTTTTTTCTGTCTTCAATGGATTTAGCAATTTCTGACAATTCCATTAGCTTCCTTTTTAATTAAGTTGAAGAAAAGGGAATCCGATTGTCCGCATTTGGGGAAAACTAGAAGATGAAGAGGATAGAACACTTATCAGAAGAGGAATGCATTAGAATTGCTCTCGGCAAAACCATGCTTAAAATTATTTGAGTAATAGTCCCTGTCCGAGGCCTTCATTATGAAGGTTATTCTTTTCTTTCCAGTGTCTTTGTGAAGGGGTCAGCCTTCCATCTAAGAAAATCCAAAACCACAAACAATGTGACATTTTGAAGAGCATTTTCAGTTGTTTAACATGTAAAAGTAGATCTGAAAATTGTATTTTTTTTTTTTTTTTTAATTTGGTTAATGGAAAGCGGAAACTTAAGTTATGTTGCTGTAACTTCTTGTTTGGTAAGGATTTCCAAACATCAAATGTAGCTTCTATAACTATCTGTGAGTTGTGCTAAAATTAAGAAGCTTTTTGCCCACACAAATAGTATCCATATGAAAAGTATATGCAATTGATGTGCAAAAACAACTAAATCATGTAACCAAGGCAACCAAAAATACAATTGTTTTGCATAAGGTTGAAGTACAAATATATTACAACCAATTTGACTTATTCGTTTGAATTTGATAAAATCGATTTGATTAATTCAATTTCGTAATAATTGATTAAATAAAGCTATTTGATCAATTAATTTAATTGATTGAATTAATAACACTTTTCAACAGATTTTTAAGTATATTATATAATAATTTTTACTTATATTTAAAAAAATAAAAAATATGATATTAGTGATAAAGTTATGAGATGAGTTTTATTGAATGAATATCATTGCAAAATTATTATTCAAAATTGATAAAAATATGAAAAAATTGGTTTTTTGGATCAACAGATTTGTTTATTATTAAAAATAAATCAGTAGATTTGAATTACTTTTTTTTAAAAAAATTATATTAACTTTAGATTTGTTTTAAAACCGAACCTATAATTGCTTACCTTTTGATTATGGGAGTTACAGCTTACAGTCAGGTCGACATTGAGACGTGGTTAATGGATCCCGGAGATTTATTTACCTCCAACACGTCTTCTGTTTCTGTCTTGGCCCATTGCTTTTTTTTTTTTTTTTTTTTAAGAATAAAATATTTAAATCCGTTTTTTATTGGGAAAGGATGGGGTCGTCAAGTGTCCAAAACTGAAACCTCAATCCAAAGCTGAAAAACATTGCTCTCTTTATCTGCAAATTGCCTATCCATTCGACGCTCACCACCCTCTCTCAAATCTACCCAATTTCTTTCTTCCTTTTCCACTCTCATTCTCTGCCAAATATTACCCACACAACAAGAGTTTTGCTATAAAGGAAGACAAAGTTGCTTCAGTTTTTCATGGCTTCAATTCCAACTCCGACGCCTCGTAATCTCACTTTCCCCAGCTCCCAATTTCCTTCCCTGAAAAGAACGTTTTACCCTCCGTCGAGGTTTCCCGATTCCACCCTCTGTCGCTGTTCCAATAGCTCCTCCGATAATAATTCTATTAACTGGAGATGGGACTCCGCCATTCAAGATGTTATCAAAAATGCCATCAAGCGATTCGATTCCTACATGAACCCTTTCCGGAAAGACTCCACCGCCACCAAAGATACGTTAAACGACGCCGTTGCCGGTAAACAATGGCTTCGAGGAGACGAAGAGGACGATTGGGATTGGGATCGCTGGAAAAAGCATTTCGAACAAGTCGATGAACAAGAACGCCTCCTCTCCCTTTTAAAGGTATTTACAAATCTATGCTTCTTTATTGGCTTTTTCCCCTTATAAAAGCGATAAATTTAATGGACCAACTTTAATTCCAAGCTTTTATGGCATCCCTTTTCTTTTAATAGACGCAGTTAAATGAAGCTGTACATAGAGAAGATTATGAGGATGCAGCTAGGTTAAAGGTTGCAATTGCAGCTGCAGCTACAAATGATACTGTTGGCAGAGTCATATCCCATTTAAATGTACAAATTCAATTTCTCTCATTTAATTAATTTAATTTTTTTAGAAAAAAAAAAGAGGAATTTCCATTGTTCTTGCTGACCTGATTTCTTGTCACTTCAGAGGGCAGTAATAGAACAACGTTTCCAGGATGCAGCATTTTTAAGAGATAATGCCGGTGCTGGCTTGGTAAGTTAACCGTTTCTCTGTTTCCTTAGAAAAAAAAAAAAAGAGAAGTTATTTTTTTTTCTTTATAGTGGCTAAGTAAATATTATTTGGTTTTTATGGTCTTGTGTTCCAGGTTGGATGGTGGGCCGGTCGTTCGGATGATGCCAAAGATCCTTATGGTCTAATTATACAAATAACTGCCGAGCATGGAAGATATGTTGCTAAGAGTTTCAGTCCTAGGTAATCACTCCCTTGGTTCATATATGTACGTATGTTTAATAGATCATTTGTATGTTTGTGTGCACATGTATATGCTCTACTATTACTAAGTATACAGTTATTGCGTGGAGCATTTCTTGTTTAAATATTTTGCATTGGCTCCTGGTTTTTTATGGTTCTTGCTTGTACTTATTGATTTGTAATTTCAATGATTGTTTCTGACATCTTGTTTGACTGATTCTTTTCTTTCAGGCAGCTTGCTATTGCATCAGTTGGTGTACCCTTGTTTGAGATCTTTCTTACTGTAAATAAGAAAGGTGAATACAAACAGCAGGTATCTTTTGTTTCTGTTCTTTTTTGGATTTCTGCTTAGTTTTTTATGTTTGAATTGAATATTTTACTTAGATAGCAACATTTTCTGATAAGTTGAGCCACTTCAAGAAGTCACCTGGGTGCTCTATATTTGTGTGCATGGATATAATGATAATAATTCTTGAGCTGGCAATTCTATTGTTTTTTTTTTTTTCTTTTTTCTATCTTGGTGATCCTTTATTGGAGCAATTAAAGCAAATTAAGTCTTGTATCTAGATTGATGAAAGTTTGTCATCAATTGAATTGTCCAATGCTTATTACATTATATGTGTATATCTTTGTGGGTTGGTTATTATTTGTTTGATTGGTTCAGTGAAGGTATTAGTTCAGTAAGCCATAGGTATGCTTGTAGCAAGCTTAGAAAAAATGAAAGTGCTTCTGTTCTAGCAAATGCATTTAATAATACCTGTGTGTCCAAGGCACCCTGCTTAGCATTCATAGTTTTGTGTTCAATTGTAGTAGCATTTAATGTTTCACAAATGCAATCTTATCCGGTGTGTTTCAGGTTGTCTACTTGAAAAGGAGTATTTTCCAGGATTCTTCAATGGTGTCTTCCAAAACATCAGGAGGTCCATCGGGCTCTAGTGAAGACAAAAGTGATCTTTTTGTTGTGAGTGCTGTAGATGATGAAGATGGTGCTGATAAAGATGATGATAATGATGATGATAATGATGCAGATGATGGATCTGATGTGGCTGAGGGACTAACTGGTTTTCAAAATGTCTTGCAAGATATGATTCCTGGTGTAAAGGTCAAGGTCTTGAAAGTCTCTGCACCTGGGAAAGTAGACCAAGATTTTATATCTAAGGTGATTGAGCAGATAAGAGATGAAGAAGATGAGGACAAAGATGCTGACATTGAAAGTATAGAAGTGAATGATGAAAATAAGAGTGAAAATGACCAAGAGAGAGATCAGATTGAGATGGATACTGATAGTGGAGTTATTGATAGTGATAGGCGAGGTGAAATTGCAGTTAAAGTTGTTGTTGGTGGTCTTGTACAAAAGCTTTCTGGCAGTGTTCCTGCAATAGAATCACTTAGAGTGCCCGCTAAGTTAGTGAAAAAGGGCCGCCTAACATTTTCATTTTCTATAGAAAAAGACATCAACCAACAAGATTCCAGTTTCAAGACAAGGGGTTCAATGGATAGAAAATCAAAGATTCAAGGTCAACGTAGCTTAGATAATATAATGTTTGATCTTGCTAAATTTATTGGCAGAGAGAAGATACCTTTGAAGGTAGGTTCAATATATTAAATAAATATTTGATGAATAATTTTTGTAGAATGGGATCTACAGACCATTTCCCATTTAAGTTTCTACTGTAGAATGCTTGGTTTGCTAACTAATTTCAACCATGCAGGTGCTCAAAGATGTTGGTGAATTAATAAATCTCACTCTCAGTCAGGCTCAGAATCATCAACCACTATCTGGATCTACAACTTTCCATCGCATTGAGATTGCAGCATCACCAGACCCTCTAAATGGTGATTTTTAACACTATCTCTTCATGTTTGTTAATGTTTTGATGGAATGATCATTTATTCTCTCTCTCTCTATTCAGGCTACTTTCTGCCGTCCTCTGCTTTGTCTATGTTGTCATGATGGTTATTCAAATCTATCATAAAATTATTGTATTTACAATATATTTGTTTGATCAGGATTATATATTGGTGCACATGGGCTTTACACTTCAGAAGTCATTCATGTTAGACGCAAATTTGGTCAGTGGCCAGGGGATAGTGGGAGTAAGGAGCCTTCAGATCTTGAATTTTATGAATATGTGGAAGCTGTAAAATTAACTGGAGATCCTTATGTACCAGCAGGCCAGGTGATTTCATTATTTAATTTAACTTTTTCTTATGATTTGAGATAGTTTTCTGGAGTTATAAACGAGGATCATTTAATTTTGCATTTCCAAATTAATGTGAAATGCAGTTAAATCTCTCATTATTGTCTTTAAATTAGTAGTTCCTACTCCCCACTTTACCCCACTCCTATTTTTTGTCTGTTTATGTTTAACTTTGAAATGAGTATCTACCTTTATTTGGTTTGTCTCCTAATACCTTGGAATTTCTACAGGTGGCATTTCGAGCCAGAGTTGATAAAAGATATCAGCTCCCACATAAAGGGATAATTCCTGAAGAATTTGGAGTGGTACACTTTAGAGTACATTGTTAGTTTGTAAAGTTGGAATTTGTTGTTACCCTTTGTTTAAATTTCTCTTTGATACCCTCTTCAAATGTTAAGGAGATTCTGTGGTCTTATTTTCGACTCAGGTTGCTCGATATAAAGGACAAGGGAGGCTTGCTGAGCCAGGCTTTCGAAATCCTCGATGGGTTGATGGCGAGCTTGTTATTCTTGATGGAAAGGTTTATCTCTTTTGTCTGATAATGTATTTGATTTGACATCTTTATTTGTCAAGTGGATATTGATTATTTGATGTTCTAACTTGCTAATTTGAACAGTACATCAAAGGAGGGCCTGTTGTTGGATTTATATATTGGGCCCCTGAATATCACTTCTTGGTGTTCTTCAATCGACTAAGGCTTCAACCTTAGTCTGTTGCACATAATATTTGAGCATGTTTATTTTTTGTTCAGATCACGCTAGGTAAGTACTTCCTCACTGTAAATTAAATGTACGAAATGTGTCTAAATTTGTTTTCATTGCCTCAGGATTTTTTTCCTGTCTATTCTGTATTTCTGTTTGACAAGTAAGCCTATTAATTATGCTTTCATCAAGATATTCCTCAAGATAATTTTTCTAATGCTCTAATTCCTTGTTGATGTAGACTTCAATTAGGCATGTGGCATCGATTATAGTCTGCAAAATTGATCAGGTGGCAAATTTGTGAACTATTTTCTGCATAAAGGTCATGGTGATTGTGTCAATATCTGATTTTGCTACCTCCTCCTTTCCACTCCTTCCAGGTCCAGTCATGCTTGCTATTCCCTATTTGTGAAAGATGAGAGATTATTGAAGTTTTCGTAATGTTGTCTTCAGTCTCAACAAGTGGTTTCAAACTTTGCAAAATGAGAGATATTGTAGCATGCAATAATGTGTGCATAACTTTCATTGTAAATGTAATGTAAATGTGTTGTTTGTGTACGTGTGGGCAAGGGATGACATTGTCTGCATTAACCATATGATCCATCTCCAGGGGAAACTTGATTTGTACGCTTTTTTAAAAATAATTGTTATTCATAAGGTTGGTATCAATTTGTGCATTTAAGAATAATCAGTATGGGATTTTCTTTTCCTTTTCTCTCTCACTAACATATATTGCTGAAACATAACATGTAATGGTAGCATTTGTTAGATTTCTTCGCCAGTTTTGAGTAAATATCCAATATTGAAAATTTCCTTTGTGTTTGCGTTTTGCAGTTCAACATGATGCTTGTCACTGAACAGTAAAGCAGCAAAGAAGGGAAGAGATTCTGTGGTTGTGCAGTAAATATATTGACTCTGGAAGTGACCATGGAGCTTCTCAAGGCTCAGAAAAAGAAAAAAAGATTCAGAGTTTCTGCTGCCTGGGTTCTTGGGAAGTCCTTTCCTTCAATGTATCCAGTAATTCTATCATGCATCCGATCAAATTCCCAAATTACAGGCCTATATGAATCATCATAGCCATAGCTTGATTTATTGTAAAAATATTACAATTCTAACTAGATCCCAGGTCATAGATGGAGTTAGGACTAGTGAAATATGGAAGGCTTTTGGATGGCCTTATTTTGTGATGCAGCTAGCGGATAACATTCAAAATTAATTTTTCTGTATTATCCTAGTTTATATTTGAGTTAATTATATTTTTGGTATTTAAACATTGAAAAAATATACAAATTGAGATTTAAAAAAGATAAAATATACAGTTTGTATATTGAACTTTCAAATAATAATTCTAATATTATTAACTTACGGAACAGAAGAAATCAAGGCTGTTAAAGCCAAGACAACCTGTGAACATGCCGAGCTTTCAGACGGCACAAGTCGACACTCCTACTAGCTGAGACGGAGGCAATAGCTTATGGCTTGTTCGGAGGAACCAAATGAGACAACATTTGCTATCTTGGTTTGGCTTCCTTTTCTTTTGCCATGTGAAGGCCTAAATGATGCATCAACTCCAGCAAGATCAGTCAAGTGATTTTCAGTTTACATCAAGTCATATCTTTAAGCTCCTGTTTGGTGCTTTCTGGCAAATGTGAAGAGGAACGCCAAAGGTTGCTCAGGCACGTGAATGCAGAATAACATCCTTGAGAAGAGCCACTGCCTATTAAAAGACAGTTGGAAAAAGAAAAAGAAAAACGCGTTGCAATTGGAATTTAGAAACTCGTACTGATCGTTGGATCAATTCCAGTTACATCTATCAACTAGTGGTGGCAATACGTCGGATCAAAATAAATTTTTATTCATTTCGAACTCAATTTAATTTTATATGTATAAAATATAAATTGATTTAATAAATTTTTTTAATTATTTTATATTGATATCAATTCGATTCGATATTATATAAAATTATATTCAATTCGATTTAAAATTAATAAAATATTATTTTTTAATATAAATATAAAATTAAATATATAAATAAATATAAAATTAAATAAATAATTAAAAAATAATTTATATATATATTAAATTAAAAATTCCGATCCAATTTTAAATTTTATTTTATATTACCTAACTGATTTGATACCTGAATTTTTAAAAAAACCCCATTTTAAAAAGAACGGGTTTGAGCTAAATTACCTTCCCTACTATCTAGTAGCTAACATCTGACGTTGAAACGACGGCGTATAACCTATGCCCTTTAATTGGTCCCTCACTTTCAGAAACTCTCAAACTTTAGCGCACGTTAGAAAGAAACTTCAAAACCAAAACCCTTTCCCCTTCCTTTCCTCTGCAACTTCTTTGCAAGGAGACAAAACGAAGATGCTTGTGGTAATTAATTGATTAATTTAATAGTTTTAATCGCTTAAATTAATTTTGCTATGGGCAGCACCTTCCTTTCTTTACCAATAAAGCGAGCCATGCCCGATCCGAACCCTTCTTCTAATGGACCCTCCAAGCGTTCCAAGCCTCCGTCTACTCCTCTCCATACTCCCCCCGGCCACGTTGCCTTCCGTCTCCTCTGCCACGTGTCCCGTGTCGGTGGCATCATCGGCAAGTCAGGTAGCGTCATCAAACAACTGCAACAGGTTACCTGTTCCAAGATCCGAATTGAGGATGCCCCGTCCGAAAGCCCCGACCGGGTTATTACTGTCATAGGCCCGAATGCTGTTAATACCAAGGTTGTACTGAGTCTTGGTAGCCTTGACAGTGGTGATGGTAGTAGAGTTGAGGAAATCGATGTGTCCAAGGCGCAGGAGGCGTTAGTAAGGGTGTTCGAGAGGATTCTGGAGGTGGCGGCGGAGAGCAATGGAGCTGCCTTGGGGATGGTTTCTTGTCGGTTGTTGGCGGAGGTTAAGCAAGTTGGGAGCGTGATAGGGAAAGGAGGTAAAGTAGTGGAGAAGATAAGGGAAGATACTGGGACCAAGATTAGGGTTTTAGCGGATAAGCTACCGGCTTGTGCCAGCTCCACGGAGGAGATAGTGGAGGTAAGAAATTTATAATGGGAGTTCGTGAATTAGGGTTTCTGTTTCTGAGTCTTAGGGTTTGTTGACTTTTTCATTTCTAGAAGTTGCTTTTTTTTTTTTTTTTTCTTTTGACCATGGCAAATAGATTCGAAGTTTTGCAGCTTATGAATTGGCTAACTTAAAATGTGTAATTGATAATTTCTTTAGGCAATTTCATTATTATTTATTGAATTCTCTTCAGTCGATGTATGGAAAATTATTGCATTAACAATCAACCGCTGTGTTTAATATCAAAATTATTTCCATAAACAGCACCCTGAGAAGTGCCTTTTAGGTTCTCATTAGCGAAACCCAAACTTTATTAATTTAACTTATAAATTTTTCATATGGTAAAAATTATGGTAGTTCTGTTCTTTAGACCTTCTAAAACCCCTTTCTTTTTATATGGATAATAAGGGCAGAAAATTTGGGGCAAATTCTGGAGAGGAAATTTATTGTCCTCATGTAAATGGGACATGGAAGTATTCTGAAAGTGAAACTTTCTTGACAGTTTCGATACAATCTAACTAATGTTGCCCAACCTTCTCGTTTTCTTAAGCTTTTGCTTATTCTTGTTGTTATACTTGAGTAGAAACTTTATTTCTTGTTCCCTTGTGTATATTTTCTAGATTGAAGGAGGTGTTTTAGCTGTAAAGAAAGCACTTGTTGCTGTCTCACACTGCCTCCAAGATTGTCCTTCTGTCAATAAAACAAAGGTAACTGAAAACAGAACCATCGAATCAGTTCTGCCGGAGACTTTACGCAGACCTATTGAGGTACTTCCTCAGGAGACTTTGCACAGACCTATAGAGGCGGTTCCCCAGGACCCATTGAACAGACCGATTGACGTGGTTCCGCCGGAATCTTTTCTTAGACATTTTGAGGTTGTTTCGCATAAGTCTTTACCTGATTTGCATGTAGATCATCTTTCACAGCGTAGTTCCCTGGTACCTAGTATTCCCAGGAGCTCTATCAGTTATGCCACCAGAGTTCATCCTTTGTCTCTGGAGTCTGAGAAGGCTTCACCTTTGATAAAAAAATTACAGCAGGAAGTGGTTTTCAAAATTCTTTGCTCCAGTGATAGGGTTGGGGGTGTTATTGGAAAGGGAGGTGCAATTATTAGGGCTCTTCAAAGTGATACAGGAGCTACTATTACAATTGGAGCTACAATCACTGATTGTGATGAACGGTTGGTTACTGTTACTGCATCAGAGGTCAGTCATGTTGTTATCTTCTATGACATTTTACATGTGCTTAGATTTTGTTCTTTTTGTTATTGATATGCTTTCATTGACTTGATATCCTGTAGAACCCAGAATCACAGTATTCTCCGGCACAAAAGGCTGTTGTCCTTGTTTTTGTAAGAACTTTAGAGGCTTCAATTGAAAAAGTGCTAGATTCAGGGTCAGGTAAGGGTTTAAATGTTACTGCTCGGCTTGTAGTTCCATCAAGCCAAGTTGGTTGTCTGTTGGGAAAAGGAGGGGCAATAATTTCTGAAATGCGTAAGGCAACTGGTACCAGCATGCGAATTTTGGGAACTGACCAGGTCCCTAAGTGTGTCACTGAAAATGATCAAGTGGTGCAGGTGCGCTGGAGCTGTCTTTAATTATGTTTATAAAGGTTCATGGACATAAAAATAGCATCTTTTTTTTTTTTAATCTTTGGGGTAAAGTAGAAAATTTCTCAATTTTCAGTAGAGTTTTCTCCTACAAATATGGACAAATGATTCTAATATCTTAGATGGTAGAGTTAAAAGGAAATCATGACATCACGATCTGTTTATAACATGTTTCCCAGCTGTTCCATAGCATTCTGATTCTGGCTGAGGAAAGATCTCCATATATATTCCTCTCTGTAGATACATTGGCACTTAATCTAGTGTTATGCTTTATCATGAGAGATTTTCCTAAAATAATACAAGCCTGGTTTTTCATAAGGCATGATTTGCTTAATTGTTATTTTCTTTTAACAGATTTCAGGAGGGTATTTGAATGTAAAAGATGCTATATATCATGTGACTGGTAGACTACGAGATAACCTATTTTCTACCACACTGAAAAGTGCTGGAGCAAAAAGCAGTTCCTCGGTTTTAACTGAGACCAGTCCTTATGGAAGATTGTTGGATACTGCCCCTCGTGGGTTGCAAGCATCAAGTGGTTTTTCTCATAGTCTTAGTTGTCATACTACATTGGCAATGAATAATACAGATCCCCTTGGACTTTCCCATAGTTTAGATTGCCCTCGTTCACCAGGATTGTGGACATCAGAGGTAGGCTTTTTTTCATTCTCTCTCACACGAGAGTGTGCACATGCATGCACCCCAGTCTCACTCATGAAGAGAAACAAACGTGCTGGAATAGAATTCTTACACTTTTTAACTTACCTGTGGCTGGGTTTTAATTGCAGATGGCTACTGGCCTGAATCCAAGGAGCATCACAGGTGTTGGAAGAGGATTGACTTCTTTTAGAGGTGGATTTGAACTTGGCAGGTTGGTAGCTTACTGCTAAATTTTGTGTGTTGCACAAACAATTAAAGTTTGAACTCACAAATTTAATGATTGATGTTGATTTTCTAATGCTATACTTAATGGTGTTATATGGGGCCAAATAGAGTTGGGAGTGTGGAATTTGGAGGACGACTCTTTAGATAATATCTCATAGCTAATGACCCTTTTATCTCATATTTGCAGTGGAAACAAATCTGCTGTTGTGACAAATACAACTGTAGAGATCAGAGTTCCTGAGAATGTTATTGACTCTGTTTATGGGGAGAATGGCTGCAATCTGGCTCGCTTAAGAGAGGTAACACACTTTTTTTATATTGTTGGTGTATTATTTATTGGCATTGTTTAAAAAAATGCTTCGAATAATATTTAGTAGGTGAGTGGTTCTGCTCCTAATTTTGCGGAGAATTATACAAGCACCATCTAAACAACTCAATTCTTGATAGAACTTAATGAAGAACCTAGACAACACTACTGAAAACCAAAAAGCAATCCACAAGTATCTGAGACTAAAAAGGCAATCAAAATTAAAATGACTTCACTACACCCATTGAACAAAATTCCCTAGTTGGATGTATATCTTCAAGTAAACTGTAAAGAAACTTCTAAAAGTCATTACTTAAGCCTGCTTTTCATAAATAATGTCCCTTTAACAATTTAAAAAGTTAAACCCCCGTTTTGAATAGTCATTACTGATGTCAATACAACATGCCACTATTGAAGAACATATTCTGAAGTCATTACTAAAAATATTCTGTTTAAATCCCCACTTGTATAACAGTTAAGAACAAGCCTCGTGCCTTGAAATTTTATAATAAAACATTTTCGGAAATCTGCTCTTGATATGTTTGAAAGGTTACACTGAATTTCTTACACCTTTTGAGTTATTGATTTGTGCACACAAAAAAGAATGAGCGAATTAAAAAATATCTCCCTAATAAATATCTTCCCGACACCAAGATACCATATTGCTGTCAATATAAAATATTTATGAGATATCTGATCTTAAATCAACTTCAACTTTTCATCTGGTGTTCTTCAATCAGATCTCTGGTGCCAGGGTCATAGTGCATGAACCTCAAATAGGAACAAGTGACAGGATCATTGTCATATCTGGGACGCCCGATCAAACCCAGGCGGCTCAGAGCCTTCTTCAAGCATTCATCCTCACCGGTCCATCACGCTGAAATCTTTCATTAAACCTAATGTTTTCACTAAAGGGAGAAGAAAAACTTGAAGCTTTTGCCTATTTAGCTTCTTTTTTCTTTTTTTTTTCCCGGGTCTTTTCTTTTCCAAGCAGTGTACACTAGTCTAGCCATCTATGCAAGCCTGTTCTTTGGTGACAATAATTTAATCCTAATCATTTACAAAATGTTTTGTATCACATGGCTTATGAACATCACTGTTTTCAGTTGTTTCCTTACTTTTCTTGTCTAGTTTTGGGTTTCTGTTTTACTATGGATGAGAAGTTATGTTTATTATGGTTAATTGGTCTAGTGATAAAGGTCATGGGCCTGCTATGTTGTTATTTTCTCCCCTGCAGTCCTTATTTTGAGCCTAGCTCTTGGTACCCTATAACTGTTAGGCTCCGTTTGTTTCGGGGAAAATAACTTACGCAAAATGATTTCTGGAAAATATTTACATTTTCCAGAAAATTATAGATCTTCCATTGTTTAGTTATTTTTTGAAAATCTGTTTTTTATAATATTAATATATTATTTGATAATATATATTATGTATGTTATTTATTAATATATTATATTAATAGTATATTATTTATTAAATATATTATTATAATATTTATTAATATATTATAATATTTTTTTATTCATGTATTATTTATTAATATAATAATATTTTAAGTAAAATTATACTCAAAAGTATTGATATGTGGTTTTACTCATAGATAGTTTTTTTTTGGAAAATATCTTCCCCTTTTCAAATCTGCGAGATAATTTTCAGAACAATGATCTTATTTTTCGTTGACTAGTAAGTCATTTTCTGTTGACCAGCTAGTTTTCTGTCAAACAAACACCTAAAAATGCTGAAATAATTTTCCGGAAGTTATTTTCTGCAAAACAAACAGAGCCTTAGTAAGCCTAAATTAGCATCACAAGTACAATTCAAATTAATCTTCACTAAAAACTTCAGTTTAAGATGAGTATGTATGATAACACCCCAAAAGGAGAGAACTAACACATTCTTAGATTGTTCTCTTGTAAGTTTGTTGTGAAATTCTTTAGTTGAAAATAAACCTATTCTCCAAATTCTCAATAAAGAATCAGCTTGAATATATATAACCATGCTGAAAATATTCAGAGTAGATGTTTTTGAAAAAGTTAACCTATGATGAATTGGATTCTTTCAAGTATTTGATAAAGATAAAATCCAAGCTCTTTGTTTAGATATTGGTGGAGATGTATCAAAATTTCATCCAGCATCTGTACTGTTTTAGGCTAGAAGATGTGCTTCCAAGCTGAATTTGTAATGCATGTGTTAATAAACATCTATACTGTTTTCCATAGAATGGCACATCCCTTCTAGTGAAGGTTCAAATCCCCCTTAACCCCCATGGCCATGTCCAATTGTACCAAGACAATAAGTTGGTACTCAGGTAACCAATATTCTATTTGCCGTTCTCTCTCTCTCTCTCTCTCTCTCTCATTGTTTTCAAGTATTTCAATTTTATGCTAAATAAAAAGATATCAACTCCTATCTTTCTTCTCTTTATCTAATTGCTTTCTGAAAATATATGTTACTATTATAATTGTCATTGTCTCTATATTAATACTTTTTAATGTTTTTTTTTTTTTTGGTAGTTTGGAATGTGGAGGTCCAATAATCTTTTTACACAATTAGTGATAACTCTCTCCCCACAAACCCACTCTCCTTTTCCAAGATCTGAACCCAGAATCTTAAAATTGAAAGTTATAAGATTTGACAGTTATGAGATACCCTCAAGCATTCATCCTCACTTTTTCATCATGATGATATCTTCCATTTTAAACCTAACATATTCCACAAAAGGAGAAGAAAACTCAAAACCGTTTCCTATTTAGTTGCTTTTCAAATTTTTTTTTTTTTGGTGTTAATGTTATGAATGATTCTTAAACTATAGTAAAATGTTTAATATGGTACTTGAATTTTAAAAATTTGTAATGTGGTATTTGAACTATGCATCTATTAATTAAAGTGGTACTTATCTCTAACGAGATTAGTTTCAAATGATGACGTTTGGGACAAACAATCTTTCAAGTATCATATTAGTTAGCATATTCATATTTCAGTTATCATATTAGAGATTTTTAAAATTCAGATATTACATTGAATATTTTATTATAGTTTAGGGATCATTCATGGTATTAAACCTTTTTTTATTTGAAACATTGTACACAGTTCTGTTCATCTATCCCTTCATAAGAATGGGTATTATGGTTAGTCACGTGGCAAGGGATATGATACAGCTCTGTTCCTTTCACTGACTTTCATTATCTTAGGCAAACCTTTTACTACTCTATGTCATCTTAGTCAGCCTAAACTATGCATTGGCAAAACAATTCAAATGAATATTCACTTGCAGTTTGGGTGTGTGGTTGGGCAAAATAAACAAATAAATGAAGAGAACTCATGCACATTCTTAGATTTTCCTCGTGTTAGTTTGTTATAAAACTGTATGGTTGAAAAGTGATACATTTCAATCCTATTTTAATATTTTATGCAATGATACTTTCTTTCCAGTGGAGGATTAAAATCCAAGATTCAAACTCCCCTCTCCCTATGGCCTTAGCCAATTATACCGACAAAATAAGTTGTTTTTTTAAGTAATCCCAGTCCTACATGTTCTTTCACTTCAAAAAATTTAGTTGTATGTTGAGCTTCCGTCAACTTCTTTCTCTCTTTATCATGCATTACACACATTCAAGTTCATGAGTCTGAACTATATTTTCATAATCTTCTTTTTCTTAAGGTTTGAATATGAGATCTTTGAATTGGATTTGGATGTTTTAATTTTGAACATCTAAACCTTTGAGAATATCCACTTGGCAGAAATTTCTTTTCTTTTCTCTCATTTTATTTTCTTTTATTTTTCATCTCAGTTCTTTCTTTTTTCCCGTTCAATTTATAATTATCCAATCATACACGTAGTTTATGCCATTGAAAGCAAATAATGGATGATACACACCATATTTCAAGTTTGAATATAAGCGAAGAAAACGTAAACAAATCTGGGTGTGGTATACCACTAACAAGTTGGGGCTCACTCTGGAAAATTTTATCGAGCAAAGAGTTTCCAAAAGTAATGTTATGCAGAACCAAGATTTAGACCACCATTAACATTAATGAAAAACATATAGAATATCAAGCTTTGCTGCTGAATTATAAGTGCAATATATTTCTTTAGAGCTGCATCAGCTGCTGCTGGCTGCTGCAGTTGCAGGTGGTGGTGGTGCTATCGCTTTGAGTGTAATTTCCACATTGTCATGAACTCCTTGGAGCAGTAGCTCACCATCATATGTAACAACTTTACGTTTCTTTGCTGCTCTTAGTGTCCCGACGAGTGCTTCAAAGATGTTAGCACACTTATCATCATGAAATAGCACCCCGAATGTCACCTTCAACACATGAAACAACAAAACTTTATACATTTATACTAGAAAAGTAAATTGTAGCAACATGGAGTGGGAAATAGTATCACCATTCATCTAACTTTGCAAGTACTGTTTTCAGATGATGTGAACATGCCTGTAATTTTGTTTCTATTACTCAGAAAAAGAAAAACCTACAATGTCAATAATGTACCCTTTAATTTCTATAAAAGTAAAAGGTAAGTGTCTTTGGATTTGGAAGTAAATTTTTTATTAGATGAATTGGGTAACTTTTAAGTTTCATGGATAACAAAAAGCGTGATTTTATTTTTATATATTATTATATTTAAACATTCTTACCTTTCAGTAATTTACTCATCAAATTATATATTTATTTTAAACAGCCTTTTTAGAATAGAAAAGCAAATCATAAAATTTAAGTAGCAGAAGCAATAATTAAGATCTGCTTGGTAGATGCTTTTTCATTCTCTTTTGTTTTTTTTTTATTTGCAAAAATATATGTGAAAAAGCAATAATAAAAAAAATTAGAAAATCAAAGACAAATAAGAAAAATAAAAAACATCTACCATATAGAACCTAAATGAAGTTTTTAGTAGCAAAACAAAGGGTTGGCTCAGTTGTTTAGCTGACTCTACTAGTTATGAATTGTCTAGGTTAGAATCTCGTTGATGGTCCTTCGTTGGCATTAATTTCAAATGCAATCAATGAAATTTTTTGAAACGCATATCTTGGCCAACAATTGATAACCATCACAGGCATTGGAACAATCTATCTGCCCTGAATTCTATAACCAAAATAAAGCTAATGCCTGTAATGATTATCACTTGTTGACCTCTCCTCTTTCACGTAATGCAAATACGAGTTTAAACTTACAACCTCTCTAAACAACAAGCAATTCCATAACTATAAAGAGAGCCTACAACAAATTTTAGCAAAAAAAAAATTCAAACTTCAAATTTCAATCGCAAGGGGGGAGTATGGTCCCCTAAATCAGGCTCTTCAAAACAGGCAGTTGAAAACAACAATAGAGAATACTTGCACTTGCCATCTCTAGTCAGGCGAAAGAGAAAAGGACTTGTGTGTTTGTCACTAGGATACTCAATGATCTTCCTGATATGCCCCTCCAAAGATTTTCCAAATTTGTAAATTTCAAAGAAAACTCAGAACACAAATTAAGACAACTGAGGGCGTGATGTGAATTTATGAAGCTTTATCATATTCACCAGGAGATACATATCTATAGATAACTAGAGGTAAAATTCTTTCCATAGGACTTTCAAAGCACATTTGCTTGAATTTGGTAAGTGGGTATGTTGGAAATTCGGTCCAGAAATTTGCTATACTGATAGGAATCAGGTTTGTGCTCTTCAATTAGCCAGATGAACTACAAAAAATTATATTGAATTGGTTTTGCAGAGTGGATTGAGTAGAATAAAGATCGTCACTGATTCAACTTCTTCTATAGCGAAGGGAGGAGTGTATCAAGATCCAACTAGTGCCTCTTGGAGGTTACGACTGGGCAGTGACATTTGTAATAAGCTAGAGAGACTTGTTGGTTGGAATTTTGGTCACATAATAAATGCTTTAGCAATTTTCGCTCCCAAACTCTTCCAGTATTATTTCTATCATTCTTTTCATGGTTCATCAGCAGGGAATGAATAGTAACATCCACCAGGTATCTAAGTCAATCCTCTCACAGGCCACAGCAATAGTTATATATATATATATATATATATATATATATATATTACAAAAGAGATGACAATTTGAGGATAAAAGTTAATTTAACTTCTACAAAAGTTGAAAATGAAGAAGAAAAACAGATTCCATTGTCATAAATGTACAGGAAAGATCGACCAATCAAACTGGAAAGTTTGAAGCATTCCAGATCCAGATCAAACAAGTATGTGATGTCCAAATAGCATAAAATTAAAACCCAGAAATAGAAAGGAGAAAAATCAGATAGGAAAAGAAACCTTGTAAGAACCATCGGGTTGGATCTTGCCAAGTCTTTGGATTTCTTCCTTGAGTCGCTCCACCTCTTCTTCTACGTTCATTGTCTTCGCTTCTTTCTTTGAAAAAACTAACAATATTTGTCTGGATATGTCTGGTTATCTCTTATGAGCTCTTGGCTATCAAGGGGCAAGCATCCATGTCTTCTATAGGACAACCCTCTCGAACGATGTTAAAAATGAAAAGTGGTTTTGGTTTGGTGGTTTTGGATAAGAATGTGGTGATTGGTTCATGTGGAGGGGTCTACCCTGTGTGGCCCTGCACGTGTGAAAAGTGGAATGGATTCTTTCTTACGGAACGATGAAAGTGGTGTAGGCCCAACTAATGACGATTGACGACCCACTATATTAAATTATTTTTTCTCATTTACTGGATCTTTGAGAATCGTAGTTTTTTTTTTTAATTTAAAATTATCAAATTTTAAATTTAAATTATTAAAATTAAAAATTGAGTATTTTATAAATATATTAAGTGACTGTTAATGAGACCCATAATTTCATATTACATATAAATAATATAATAAAATGTTATCAGTTTTTATTTTTTGCCAGAATTAATTTAAGTTTATTTATTAATAAAGTCCAGTGTACCTATAACAATAAAATAAAAAATTTTCTGGCATAAAGAAACAGTTGAAATAACAATATTCATTAGGGTCGTGACATTGGTCACTCGGCCCACAGGCCACAAGGACTTTTTTGTATGAAAGAGTTGTAATTTGGAGATAGGTGAATGAATTATAAATGTTAAGTTTTAAATTTTAAATTTATTAAAAATTAATTTTTAAATTATATAAATTAATTAAATTAATTCTTAAAATCGTTTGGTCATAAAATATTGTAGTTAATTATTTTTAATGTGATTTAGGTAAAAAAATTTTTAAATTTTATAATCAGATTTATAAAATTATTATATGTTGCTACTGTAGCTTAAGATTCAATTTATTGATGTAATAAAATAATATTTTAACAAATTGTTTACATGGGTTTTCATCCAAAAATCTTAATTTTTTAATGAGATTGTTCAAAGCATATTCTTATTAGGGTGAATTGGTAGGTCTGGTAAAGATTGAGATTTGATTTGGCTTGAATTTTTTTAATAATTTATAATATTATAAAATTTTAAAATTTATTTAAATTTAAATTATTTTATAAAAAAATTAATTTGAATCGTTTGGTTGATATTTTTAAAATTTATTTAATTAAATTTAGATATAAAATAATTATTTTTATTTTATAAAAATTTTAAATATATATAAAAATTAATAAAAATATATAATTTGATTTGATTAAAATATTTTTAAAATTTTATACTTTTAATCAAAAAATTAATTTAAACTTAATAAAAATATTTAATATTTAAATTTAAAATAATAAATAATTTAATTTAATTTAAATAAAATATTATAATTTTAAATTAATTTTTTTATTTTATCAATTCTTTTCTCTGCATATGAAATTTAATTGAAACATGATATAGTGATACAATACGAATAAAAAATATGAAAATAATATGACTTAAAATTTTATAAAAATTATAAATAAATTTAATAAAATTAAAAAATTATATTTTATATTTTTTTATCAATATGACAAATGATTTTTATGTAAAATAAATATAATATTTTATAAAATAAAATGATACGAATTGTTAGATTTTATTGCACCTTTCAATAAATTATTATATTAAAAAATTATGATAAAGCCATGTGTCACTTTTAAACCCTTCATACACCTGCTAGTTGTGCTATCATAACCCTTTAATCATATTGTCCTAAACCGTAATTTGGTCTCGATTTTACGTCAATCTGTCCTTAGCCCAACGAGCCCAACGAGCCCACCATCCCCAACCTTTATTCTAGTGAGTGGCCATTCTACTCCTACCCCCCCAGTGGCATAAACCGTAAATATATTCATTCATCAGGGGCTTTTACTTAATCCTCTCATGTCCGCCTTACTCCCCCAAATCTGCTTCTTTCAACCTGTCTCCGGTCGCTTCACAAGATACTTTTAAAACATTATTTTCATTATAATTTTTAATAATTTATTTTTTTATATTAAAAAATTAATCACAGTTTTGAATAGGTTTCTCTAATTACTTCGTTTCCCTTTCTGAGGATTTTATTCTCTTGTTTTTTGTTTGGGAGATTTTTTGGGCAAAGTTTGTGGTAATTTCGATGCAAAAGGAATGGCAAATTCAAATCGCCAGCCAACATCAATGTACGGTTCAGGTGCTATGAACATGCAACAAAAACTAGAAGAAGAAGAAGAAGACGACGTCCCGGGCGGAGGCGGTGGAGAAGCAGGCGAAGAGTCGTTGGATAACCCTCAGATTGGTTACCAAGAAAGCGTTGGCGTTGTTACGGTTATGAGTAATGGCATGGAAGAAGCTTCTCATGCCAATATTTATGGGCAAGGAACCGATTTAACTGCCGTTCCCGGTAATGCTGGCGCTGATCAGTTAACTCTCTCGTTTCAAGGGGAGGTATATGTGTTTGATTCAGTTTCTCCTGACAAGGTTCGTTATATATATGGGCTTTTAGTTTTGATTAATACTATCTTTATTTTATATAATTTTGATGCTGATTTTTCTTTAAATTGTTTACTTTTTGCATATGTGTATAAGTTTGTTGGATGAATTAATGAAATTATTCGATAATTTGGCGAATTAAGTAGCGACCTTTTGTGTTTTAATGCTAATTTAGCTGAAAAGCCTTGTTTTTTTTGCATCTATGTTGTGGTTTACATGGTCAATTACTCAATTTCTTTGTTTAAAGTAATGTGGTGGGTTATGCATTATTCCCTTCTCTCAAATGAAGAAAGCTGCTTCCGTTTCTCCTCAATCCAATCAAGTTTAGTTATATCTGCATGGTATGATCTAGATGTGCGTTTGTTTATTAATGGTGTTTCATGTTAAAGGGAATAGACTTACTATCTGGGTTCCTGTTAATTTTTCTTCTTATTGCTTTTAATGTGCACCTTTTATGTGTAAAAAGGGTTCTGCTCATTGAAGTTGATTGTGTTAGGTATTCTAGTTGTCATCATTATTGAATTTGCATTCATTTTGTTGATCACGTCACTTACATTTATTTGCAGTTGTATTGTGACTGTGTTAAAATAACATTCTCAATTAGAGTTCCATTACCGAGTCATGGACCTCCTTCATTTTCTTACTCTTTTGGGGATTAATTCTGTAAATTCAAGTGTACAATTCAATAGTAGGTGATTATGATATAAGACTGACGTGGATTTTTTAATTGATCGTGTAAAAGTAATGATGTGTTATAATGTTAAACTGCAGTGGATTTGCAGTGGTTGCTATTAGGACTTGCAGTTTCAGATATGAAGAAGCAATATGGGGAAAATCATAATTAGTTGTGCTTGATTTTTTCAGGTACAGGCAGTATTGTTACTTCTAGGTGGATATGAAATCCCTTCAGGCATTCCTGCATTGGGGACAGTTCCTGTTACTCAAAGGGTATGCGTTAGATCAATCATCCTAGTTATCTTGTGACTAATTATTTTAAGGAGGTTCTGTTTTGTTCATATATCTAGTTCTTTTATTGCATTCTCCTAGGGCATGGGTGACTTTCCTGGGAGGTCAATTCAACCACAGAGAGCTGCTTCTTTAAACCGGTTCAGGGAGAAGAGAAAAGAGCGGTGTTTTGATAAGAAAATCCGCTATACCGTGCGGAAAGAAGTGGCTCTCAGGTATTCCAATGATCAGTTTTACTTCTTTTTCCACATTCTTCTTTCTTCACTTAGAGCTTGTTCTTCAAGTGACTTTCTAACATGCTAGCTGTGGTTTGTCAGGATGCAGCGTAAGAAGGGTCAGTTCACATCATCCAAGGCAATTTCCAATGAAGCAGCCTCAGCCTCTTCAGGCTGGAATGGAACACCAGGTTCTGGTCAAGATGAGCAAGAAACTTTGTGAGTAGCTTTTCCTATGATCAAATAGCTTTCCTTTAATTTATCATTGGATTGGTATTCCACCTCACTTCAACATGTTAGTTTCAAGTATGTACACCAGCTATCATTTGTTATGTTCCAATAAAAGGGACTTCTGTAGATTCTCTTCTTTATTTTCCTATTATTTTGTGTAATTTTCTGTGTAGGTGTACAAATTGTGGAATCAGTTCTAAGTCCACTCCTATGATGCGTCGTGGACCTGCTGGTCCAAGGAGTCTTTGCAATGCATGTGGACTCAAGTGGGCAAATAAGGTTTGTGAAACCAGGAAAGAATTGTTCATACTATTCCTCTTTTAATTGCATGCAGACTCAAGAGAGCATACTATAAGATGATTGACTGTCCTCTAACTTTTGTTAATTATGTGTTCTTTGTAATTCTAATGATATATTTTTTTTGGTACAATTCTAATGATATTTAATCACACAAGATAATGATTAATCCTTGTGATTGTTAGAAAGGCATATCTCAAGATTTTGATCCATTATCTTGTGAAGCTTATTTGTAATTAGTATAGAAGATATTTAGTCAACGTGTCAAATTATGATTATTAAAAGTTAAAAATTTGAAAGTTAAGGTGGATGAAACCTTGTGGTACAAGCAAATTTAGTTTCATCCTGCTAATTTTAATTTTTGGCAAATAAGCTTCTTCAAAGTCTTTTCAATTAATAACTTTTGTGATGCAAAGTTAAGTCTTTGAATTACTTATTCTTATTATGAAAGAAATAGAAGAAAACTTACTGATTAGATGAATCAGCCAGAATTATACTTGTTATTTTCTGGACATTAATTAAAGATGTGGGCACTTGTCATTTCACAAATCAGTTACTTGATCAGACGTGAAAAACTTACCTCCTATGTTTCTTTGTCCTTAGGCTTCAAATTAATAGTGAATTCAAAATTAGGTAACATCATAAATGGGCTTGAATACCAAACTATGGTACTATCTTGTTTTGAGTTATTTTTGTCCAAGGTTTGCTGTTGATGTTTGTAAAGATTAAAGATTTTCTTTTACAGTCCTCTAGATAATCGAGTTGGTGAGAATAATTGAGTTTCTTCTTCCCTTGACAACTTATTGTGATGGAAAGCCTGGAGCATCCCTGGTCTCATGGCAACAGCTGCAACATTTTGATTTGCTATCAGTCACTTAAGTTTATTAGATGGGTAATACAGGAAAATCTCTTTTTTGGGTGCATAATCAATCTAACCTTAAAGTTCTTCAAAAGCCTAAGACTAACCTTAGGTTAGGCGTTCCTTATCTGATGATCTGATAATATAATAATCTCATAACCTCCTTATGAAGGGACACGCCATAAAATCAAAATTTTAAAATAACCTTGAAATTCAGTTTTCTACTTCCGGTCGATTTGTTCCTGGCACCACCTAACCTTAATACTTGATGAGTTTCAGAAGTAAATATATCCTTTGAGCAATAAGTCAGTCATGTCTTCTGAAGTTTAGTAACTTGTGGAGAATAACTCTAAGCTCTTAGAAATTGATAATCTTTGATGATTGTTTGTATTTCTTTGTTCAGTCACTTGGGAAGTTTTGATTTGCAGGGTGTTTTGAGAGATCTTTCAAAGGTTTCTACTGTAGCAATCCAGGATCCATCTGCAAAGACTACTGAGCAGGTACTGCTAACTTAAAATAGTATTGATGATAGTTGTTTATCACTTGTTTTCGTTATGTCCCAAGTGTTGCATGAATCTTATTACATCCCTACTTCATGGGTGTTTTATCAGAGTGATGCTGAAGCTAATGACTCAGAGGCTGTAACTGTGACTACAGAAGTTGTATCTTCATCTAATGGAGATAACTCTGCTGTCACTGCTGAAAGATGAGTAACAAGTTCCTTCCATTACAGTGAGCATTATGTTGCTGTTTGAAGACAGATGTCAAACTTTGTTGTAATAATTGAGTTTGTTTGACAACTGTGTATATGGTTCATTGCCTTCGATCATTATGTAAATAATTGTGAAATTGCGAGATACAGCCTGATTAGTTTCTGTAGCATAGGAGTAAGAAAAACAAAACTTAGTGTCACTTTTAGCAAATTTTCTTCCTTCCATACATGTTGAAGCTGGCAGCTTGTTTGATAATTTCCTTATCATACAAAAGTGGAAATATTGCAGAGTGAAAGGGAACTTTGACAAACATAGGTAGGGAAAGGAAGAGCTTGATGTCCAAAATTTTGAGGCTGATATTCCAATTCTACCCACCACCTTCTCACCAAATGTAAATGGTTAATCGGTTCAAGTTTGATGAGGATCATTTTGGGGTGGAATCCATGTGTGAGCATCCTTGCTATTCTGTTTTTCTTGTCTCATTGTTTGCCTAAACTCCTCGGTATAAGGCCTGGCAAACGTAGCTCTTACATGCTGGTCTTTCCTTACCTCTCCATGCAGCTCACCATTTCTGCTACCCAAGGTAGCCCAGGCGGCAACTAATGACAATCAAATCGCTGCTGATTCGGTCCAGTATCAGCCATGCGTAATCAGTTTGCTACATTGTCAACCCCTGAGTTCATATCTTGAATGATTTTAAATTATAGTAAATAGTAAAATTTTAAAAATTTTTAATGTGATGTTTGTATTATGATTCATTAATTAACGTTGTATTTATTTTAATATAATTAATTTTAAAAAATAACATGTGATGAATAAATAATTTTTTAAATATTATATTAATTAATAATTTTATAATATAAATATAATATTAAAAAATTTTAAATTTAAATATAATATTAAATATTTTATTATAATTTAAGAACAATCACATAAACCCTTTCAGATAAAATTTAGATGCTCAAGAACAGCCGCAGCTAAGGGATGCTTCTTCGTGCAATCACGCTTCACCGCGATGAAAACGGGTGTTATCCAACTGATTTTGTTTGGATTTCGCAATTTGTAGCCTTGAAATAACTCTACTCACCTACCCTTTCTTGGTGAATTTAATAATTTGAATATTTATATTATATTCATTTTATATTTAATACGTATAAAATATAAAAAATATTATATTGTAATTTATGCCGTTAAACATAAAATAGACATATATATTTTTAATTTATAAATAATTTTGATTAAAATTTTAAATTATATTACTTTCATATTTTTTTTTCATTTTTATATTTAAAATTACAACCAAAAAATTTATAGATATTTTTTAAATTGTATTTTATCTTTATATTTATTTTAATGTATCTTAACATATATCAATAAGAGTATAATTGTATTTTGTTACCACTGATAATTCAATAAAATTAAAACTAAAAAAATAAATATATTTAAAAAGTTATTGACAAAATATATAATTTATATCATAAAAATATTTGTAAATGTAATTGATTTATTTTTATTTTAAAAAATATTTATATGTTATTATATAATTTAATGCATATTACGTTTATAAAAAATATTCTAATACTTGAATCAAAGCCAAAATTATTGAAAAAAATGAAAAAAAGTAAAATGAAAAATCCAAGTTTTTCAATCAACACAAATGTTTTAATGAGTGGAATTAAAATTAAGATATTTATATACATAGATAAAATAAAAATACTCATAATGCTACTTTTCTTTTGGGTGATTTTTAATTACTTTATTTATTTGTTAATAGTTTCCCACTTTTTTAATTTCCCACTCTTAGCTTCTCACATTTTCTTACTACTAAAACAAACTCTCTCATTATTATTATTATTATTATTATTATTATTATTATTATTATTATGGCTTAATTTAAAGTTTAAACAACCAATTTTCACTCTTCAAACAACAGCGTTCTTCTGTTTTGTTTTTGTTTTTTTTTTTCATTTTTATCCAATTTTTAGGTTTAGGGTTTTAGGATTTTTGAGTTTACTTCTAGAAGAGATGGTGGCGGTTTTATTTGTGTGATGGTGTAGCAATGGATACGGTAAACCAGCGGGGACTGCTAGCGAGACCGTATGGAGATGAAGATGATGATGGGGTATTTGAGGCAAAAGACATTAACGGAGCTCACGAGATGGCCATGAATGGAGTGGTGAGTTTAGTAAGCCGCCATGGGAATGGAGTTGGAGGAGGAGGCGGTTTTCATACGACTCGAACCAGTGAACTCACCATCGCTTTTGAGGGCGAGGTCTATATCTTCCCTGCAGTTGCTTCGGAAAAGGTTTGATTTTCTTTCTTCTTTTTTAGGTTTTCTAATTGTTTGGTTGCATATGGAGCTTGTATTTGTAGTGTTTGTTGTTGGATGTAACTGTTTATTTGGAAATGTGGAGAGTTGAACGGTTATGTTGATAAGTACCCTTTTGTTGTTGGTCTTACCTAACTGTAAACGAAGGAGAATAGCTCTTGAGACTTGTGAATTACTATGATCCATTGGCTCTGCTAAATCTTGCTAAAATCGATTAGTTTTTGATTCAGTCAAAATGTAGGAATGCTGCTGTTGAGATTAGTTATTTTTGCATATGTGTTGCCATTTTTTAGTTATAACTGAGGAGACTTTGTATTTTACAATGAGAGCTTGTTTCTTATTTGTGTTTAGTGATCATGTTGTCAATCCTGGCGCTACTCCAAGTGATTTTCAGACTTAAGATGCTGCCTTATCGGTAATGATGTCCACTGGCCTCCATATCTGAGGTTGTAGGTTTAAAATTAATTGTTAACGATCTAACTTTATTGTTGAGAGATCCTATAATTGACTGTGCAATGATGCGGATTGGAAAATCTTGGAATGTAAATTTAGGCTTAGTTGTGCATGCCTTCTATTGTTTTTTTTCCTTCTGTTTTTTCATCAGACATTCAGGATTTCTTGTGGTTGTGAGGGGAAAAGTTTCACTCCATTGGTTGAGTTGTGGCATATAAATGTGCTATACCACTTGTGGCAATAGGGTGGGAAAATTAGATTGACATCAGCCTTTTCTTAGTGGTGTGGGGATGACCATGGTGGACAAGCTGTAATTAAAATTGCTACTGGTGTTAAGGGCAGGTTTAGTATGCCTCAATAGGTTATTGTTATTTTGAAGGTATAAAAAAGGATTCTCTGTTTTAACTTTTATGTTCACTTCTCAGCTCATGTCAGCCACTCAGCTAGTTATGTTATACGAGGCTTTTCTCCTATTTTTCCCTGTTAGTTGGGGAAGGGGATTTATTAGATGATTCAAAACAATTTCTATCATTGCTTCAACTAGGAATAAAGCATAAGGGAAATACATTTAACTCTCTTGAATAATTGGGTTTTTATATTTTGATTTGTTTGCACGGATTTCACAGGTGCAAGCAGTTTTATTACTACTGGGAGTACATGATGCATCAATTAATGTGCCCAGCTCAGCATTTCTACAAGAAGAAAAGCTCAAGGTATCCTATATGCATATGACATTTGTGGAAATTTATTTGAATCTATGGCTTCGGTTGTTAATATTTCCTTAAAATATGTTCAAGGTTGTAGTTGATTCTTCACGAGGCTTGGAGTTTTCACAAAGAATTGCCTCCCTATTACGATTCCGTGAAAAGAGGAAAGAGAGATGCTTTGAAAAGAAAATTCATTATACTTGCCGAAAAGAGGTTGCTCAGAGGTATGTCACCTTGTTTGTTGATAAGTAGCTCTTAGACTTTAGGACTTCTAGTGCAACTGAGATTTTGCTCATAAGAAGTTAAAAAGCTAATTTGGCTTGTATATGTGATAAAAGCATACTGCTGTTGCTCTTTAATTATATAACATAATTACAACATCTATTCTTTCAAGTCTTGGCTATGCTTGTATAGTCCCTCTGGAGCATCAGTGTTGCACATATTTACTGAGGTTCGCCACCTATTAGAAAATAGCTTAATGATCCTTCACCAAGCTGCACTTGACATCTCATCTGTCAGGTCTGATGGATACTTGATATATTTTTCTTAAGGATATCATTGGTACATAATCTAGGCTTTGTTACCTTTTTCTTTGATAGGTTTACAAGATAGGGTGGATTCTGGAGGGATAAGCTTTTCCATTAATTTGATTTGGGGCCTTAAAATAGTTTATTGTATGCTCTGGAGCTGAGCTGCTTAAAAATAAATAAATAAAGATCACATAATAGCATTCTTCAAGTGTGCAAGCTTTCCTTGAGCTTGTAAATTTGGAAATTATCTCATCCCCAAAGAACTTCTATTGCTTGTTCACCAGTTTTCTAAGTGCACTTCAAATTTGCTTGTCTGCTGGGATGCATTGTAAGAATGGACAGTTTGCATCATTGAAGGAGTGCTACAACTCAGCTGATGGAAGCAGTGATCAAAGTGATTGCCCTCCTAAATCTGCATAAGTTTGAAGCTTACTTTGTTTCTTTCATGTTGATGTTAATTGTGTTAATGCTTATGTTTTTGTTCTGCATTTTTGCTTTTCTTATCAGTTTGCATAGATGTCAACATTGTGGGGTAAGTGAAAAGTTAACTCCAGCAATGCGTAGGGGGCCAGCTGGCCCCATAACACTTTGCAATGCTTGCGGCCTTATGTGGGCAAACAAAGTATGTGTAGAATGGTTGTAAGTTGCTATAGTTTAAGCTTCTTTTCTCAGTTACTTATAATTATTTTTTGATGACATAATTATGTATGGTTGGAGACATTCAAACTTGAATTTCATTTGGTTAAGAAGTTTTCGGATTTTGACAGATTTTGTTGGTTGGTGGGTGATGATACTTTTTTTGTAACACTTGTAGGTATAAACTATGACAAGTCTAACTTGAGATAACCATCTATGTTACTGTCATTATTAGATTTTCAATTATTTGAGGATTGATTTTCCTTCTATTGGGAGGAGTCTACTTTCTTACCTTCTTCGTATCTGTTCTGGACACAACATTCATTTAAATTATCATTGGATACAGGCTAGTGTACCAATGTGGCTACTGTTGATTTAATATGGCTAATTAGATTATGACATTATTTTAAAGAAAGAGTGGACTGTTGAAAGTATGGCCAAAGTTACGAGTACTCTTGGCTCTAATAGTGCACTTGATATGCAATTAGATGGTGCTGATTGGTAGTTTTGGAAAGGGAAGAAAATGGATAAAACATACATGTGGATAAATTTGTGAAAACACATGAACTTACATGCTCTTCTCCCCATAGAGGAGGAATTGAGGTAAATTGCAGTGGCTCTGCTCTACATTTCTTATCGAATCTCTTTAGCATGATAACTTCGTTTTGTAATTGACCTGGATCTTTCCCCATACTGAATTTCCTACTATGCAGTAGGAGCTTTCCTTCTCAAGTAGATGCTTCAGTATCCATAAAGTTAATACGAGTCTTTTTGGGCAGCTTACCATGTTGTTCTTTATATTTTTTATTTCAAGGGAACACTGAGAGATCTTAGAAAAGAAGGGGGGAATGCTCACTTTGATCCAAATGAGCTGGTATGTATATGGAGATACTGATGTGTTCTTGTTCACTACCATAGGTTTAAAATTCTTCACTTAATTTAACAATCTAATTTCAGTTGTAATTATTGTTCTTTTTAGTTGTGAACCAACTAGACATTTTATTCATTTCAGAAATAAGTCTCTTTATCTCACAGGAAACTCCAACTGATATTAAGCCTTCAACCATGGAACCAGAAAATTCTTTTGCCAAGGATGATGAGCAGTTATTGGTCTCCTTTGATCAGTTACGACAAACATGAATCTAAAATATTTTCAAGTATGGAGTTTGATGATGCACTAAGCTTTATGCATTTACCTTTAGCTAGGTTTTTTGTTGGTTGTCCCATCTAATGTACTTTTGTTTCATCAATAGAAGCATTGTTAACTGTGAAACACAGACCATTGATGCTTCATCCTGGCATGGCTCTAGGGACTTTCCATTTTCTATCATCAGGGAAGCCCAGAGGAGACCAAACCTGTACCTTTGGATTCTGAAAATGATTTGATAAGATCTAACAGGCAGGTGAGAATCTATTAATGGTGGATGGGAGGGATTCATCTTGTGATTTTCCAATTATAAGGCATTTTCTAAGCTGACATGATATTACAAACTTGATGTACCAAGTTTTTTTTTTTCAGTAGTGACAATCAAAGTGAGTTCTTTATAAGCCATATTATGTTGTCTTCTTGCTGCACACGCTGCAGAGGTTCAATAGCTCGATTTTTCAGTTTGCAGGTGATTGCAGATTTACTGATTTTCCAAATTTTGTCAATACCAGTTTGCAAGTGATTGATTTTGTTGATTTGCCAAATGTTGTCCACTGATATGCAGGAATTTGCAGCAAATTCACATCCTTTCCCCATCCAAGGGGAGTATTCCTCGGTCAACCTTGATGATGAGGTATTGTGTTGGTTACAAGCAATTTATTTTATTTTATTTTCTTGTTTTGGCCAAAGGAAGCAATTTTAGTTTAATGGGTTTGATGGCAACGATGTATTAGCTTTGATGTTAAGTAGTAATATCGTTCTCTTAAATAATTGCATAAGGGAGAGATTATGTCTCCTTTTGTGCTGAACATTCGTGAGGAGCTCTCAAAGGCGTACTTTACTCTCCAAGTAAGTTTGTCTACATGCATCAGGACATGCAGCAAACACTGCAAGAGCTTGCCGATGCTTCTGGGTCAGACTTTGAGATTCCTTCATATTTTGATGAGCACGTAGTGGTTTTTTAGCAACCTGGCATCAATCATATACTTCAGATGGGCTTAATAGCCAAAAATGCTATTACTTCTGCAAATTCATAAATACAAAACTTTCGGGTTGACATTGATGATACCAACATTGGGACCGTGTGGCCTGGGACGTAAGATCTTTCCATGTGTATGTGACGTGCAATGCTTCCAGATAGAGCTTTCGTTTCTAACATGTTTGATCAGGCAGAGCTGGTATTGACTAACAATATATTTCCGGAGATCTGTTGTTTATAGTGAGTTGCTAGACTGAACACTGCCTTTTTTGTTATTCTATATAATGTGAATAATATTTTGTGCCTTTTTTTCCCCCTTCATTTCTGCCTTTTTCCATTAAACCAATGTAATTGTAAGTTGTACAAATCCAACAGGCATTTGGTGATTCATTGTCAGCTAGAGTTAAATGGTGCAAAGTGCCAGGAGGAAGCATAAGTTACACAATTGGTGTGCAATGTCTCCTGAGTTTTACACCATCAAATGCAAAACTGCAATTATACGTTTCTTTGCAGGCAAAACAAAATGCAGATTCAAATTTCACATCAATGTAAACACCATTGCTAACATTCTTGATCTAAATACATTTTTCACCCAAACAGTAGGGTTTCTAACCAACAAATACGGGGGAGAAAAAAAATATAACGGAAAAAATATTGTTTCACTTCCATTATTCTTTCTAGAGTGGAGCTATAAACAATGCAATTATAACACTATATTATGGTAGTAGAACAAGGAAAATATATCGAGCAAAATGCAAATTCATGATTTGTGGAAATCTATTTAGTTCGAGGAATTCCAAAGATGTTGGGGGAGAAATTAGACTAAGCAATTAAATGAAAATAATGCCTCCATATTTGACAGAAGGAACTTGGACCTATATGCAAAATTGCACATTCAAATGGCTTACAGATCAACTGTAGGATAAAGGCCTGGCATATAACTCCATCCACTTCCATTTGAATCTGCGTTAGCATACAAGTGTGGCTGTAGTTCCCCCGAGTGAGATGACTTGCGAGATTTTGGGTTTTTTGGAGAAGCTGCAAAGTCATTTGTTATAGAATACATTGATGATGTAGGAAGTCCATGGATCTTTGGCAGGCCTGTTGGATCAGAACCCAAACTATATCCCCTCTCAACTGTTTCAGCTTCCAATGGCAATTCATCCAATGTCTATTCATAAGGATTTAAGAAAAAAAAAAAAAGGAATAAATGTGGCTGCTGCTTCCTCCATAGTTAATGTTGTAATTTAACCAGTAGTTGAGCATCAGGTAATGTGATGAATTATTGAAATGCATGTCAACATGGAAAAAGACATTAGGCATTTGTCCTCTTAACAAACAGATGAAAATTCTTGTGACCATTGTAGAGATTATGATATGTTTACATGGTGATATGCAGTCAAGAGAACCCACCCTGAATGCCTGTTGGAGAACTCGGAGTGTTTCTCGAGTGCGTTTTCTCCTTGAAGCAATCTCATCAGGTTCCTGTAACATTTCTTCAAACAGGTTTTCTCTGTTTTGGATCGGAAGGCATACAGGATACTCAACAGTCAATAGAGATTATCAAAAGGATATATAACTGAAATCAAGTCAAATGGCACAAATCTCTATATACCTGTAAAGCTTTTTGATAAAGACATTGTGAAGTTCGCGTTTTGTATGGTTTACCTGGATATAGATATTATCAACAAACACAAATCAATACTCATGCAATGCTTTAGTTTAACAGTGCACTATTGCACTACAAACAACTGTTAGGATTTAGGAAGACAACGTACACTTAAACAAGAAATTACAATAGTTCCAGGTTTCAATATAATAAATATATGGCAAACATAACTTCTTAAAGCTCAAGCAAACTTTTTGACCGACAGGCTAGCTCCATGTTTTTAATTCGACAAGTAAAACTGGATACAACTTTCATGCAATCATGTAAATCATGCCTATTCAAATATAATTTAAAACACATCAACCACATAATAATAATAATAATAATAATAAACAGCAACCTTGTTCAGCATGAACGATATATGTTTTTCTCTAGATTAAAATAGTGGAGGATGGAAATCAACATACTTAGCACCAACTCTTGTTTAGGTCAAGCCAAATTGTTGCTAAACTTATGTAAGGGGAAAAATGGAAATTAATTTGGCTGGAAAGTTATACAATGTACTCCTAACTAGAACACCATAATGCTTTTCAGAATTTCATAGTTATCAGGAACTTGGCCATGAACATGGATAAAATAGCAGAAGGCACAAGAAACATAATTAGCAAAAGTATTCAGTTTCAAGCCTACCAAGAAGTGCATAATTGCTTTAGGCACAGAGTCCTCTACATTCTTCCTAACAATGTCATAGTATGATCTTAAGAGCAATTTGGTGATAGTAATTTCAATAGCTTCATTTTCTGAACGGTCTTCTGAAGGTCTCAAGACAGGTGGGGGCTGAAAAGAATAAAAAACATGATTGTCAAGATCGAACTAACACATATTGTTTTAAGTTAGCACTGGATCCTTGATGGATTATCCGATGTGTATGCACCTCTCTTAAATGGATCATGGAAAAGGTGTGTTCCATGTTTTCAACAGGTTCAATAAATGGATTGTTTGTTGAGCTCTCTTTCACTGACGAGCGGTTATCAACACCACCAAATATTGATGAGATACCCCAAGTTGACCCACTTTTGCTTCCTGATAAAACCCACATATAGAACATAGTTTACTCTTATGCAGCTTGATAATTATCTCAAAATAGGGTGAGAACTATCTAAAAAATAATAATTCACATCATACAATCCCCCAGACCCCTATCAGAAAGAAAAGGGGGGTTGGGGAGAGAGAGAGAAGACCCTCAATTCTTATCGCACAACTATCACAAAAAGAACATCAGATGTTAAAGAAACCTATTTAACAAATTCAAAATGACAGCATAAAATGCATTACCAGTGGATGGAACTTTCTCAACATCTGCAACAGGATGGGCTACCTGCATACAAATTGAGTAAAAAGTGGCAAGTTATTTATATAGATGACAGAAAGATGAGGGAGAAAAAAAGATCACAAAAGCAAAAAGGAAAAGGCAGGGAAGGAAAGCATGTATTAGGCAGCATAAACATAAATTTTCATGCCTGATCAGCCACAATTCCATTAACTTGTCTTGCAAGAATAGCTCGAGACTTAATACTTCTTTCAGAAGTAGGCACCTTATCAGGCTCTAAACCATCCTGATAAAGTGAACAAAGAAACGGGGAAAGAATGAAAATCAAGAGGATTTAGGATTAAATAATAGCAATAATTCCAGAGAAATGACTATTAGTATAGACCTACCTTCGACCTAGATAAAGGCAAAGGAACCCGGGAATTCTTTATCTGTTGATTGGCAAGCTCTACAGCCTTGCTCCCACCAATAAAATTTGGGTGGGAAGTATTTATGTAATCCATCTGCAAAATTGAATGGCATATATCCTATATGGCTAAAGCTCTTTGAAAATAACATATGAATATAAAATATATTGCACATTAATTGTACCCAGTTCATAGTTTATAGCAGAAACAGAAAAGAAATATAAAACTAGATAAAATTAAAATTAGCAAAAGCGAACCTCCATTTCAATAATATGTCCTATCATTGTCTCAGATGGTTCGAGGCCCTCTCGGAGAAAATTCCCAATAACTTGGTCCATATGCTTTCTCAGAACAGGAAATCGCTGCAGTTCATTCACCATACAGCGATGACTAATCTGGAAAGAGAACAATTTTATTAGAAAATCTACATTGTCAAGTGACAGGGCTATGAGACTACAATGATAATCAGGAAGAGAAAGTCACCTTTATTAACTCATCATATATGAACCTAGCACATTGAAGGCTTGGATCCAGCAACCGTGCTATTTGCCTTCGAACAAGTACTTCAAATGGGACCTATACATAAAAGTTGAATTATAACAATATGAACTAAGTTTAACATAAAATAATTCCAGGCAACAATTTGGAAAACAGCAATTTAGATCTGTGTAAAAACAAAATATTCTTAGATTAAACGTTTAAAGTAGAAACCACTACAACGTACTTCTGGTACAAATAATGCAGATCGAGGACCAGTTGCATTCTGAATGGCAGTTCTAATGTCATCATCAGTCAAGTCTTCACATGGATCAACCCCCTGTACAACAAATCAGTTAATGACTAACTCAAAACCAGCACCAGGCAAAACTATTTACATAAAGACACTTGTTCAGAGATGTCTGTGCATCACCAATTAATTTTGGTGTTACAATGTAAGACTATTAATGTTTTTTTAAATTAAGCAGTGGCTCTGTTCAAAAAGTCAGAAAGTTTCATTTTATTGCCAAAAACGGAGGGAAGGTGAAATTAATATCATTAATATCATGAAATCAGATAACCACTTATACCAATTAGGTTGTTATATTTATTATTTTAACTTGTCCTTACTGAGACCATGCATGAAATCATCCATGGGGGAGTGAAATGCTCACATTGCTAGAATCAACAGAAATGTTAACAATGAAAGATAGTAATTGATGACCAACTTTTGTACATGTATAACATAATGCACCTCTAACATGGACTAGAAAGGAAATCCAGATAGTGAAAAATACCTCAGAGTGAAAAGGCATGCAAATATCAAAGGCACAAATATCAGTCTACACACCTCTAAGCTCTTAACAAAGATTGATTGGAAAATATAATGAATCCTTGCTCCACCAGAAAGCTCAGATGTAGACATTTCTTCATTTTTCCCCTCCACCATCGATGATAATGCTGTTTCCAACAAAGCATTGATTCATTGTATCATTACCAATTTAGTAGAATGTATATATAATATAATAGGTGTTTCAAAATATTAATAAGGAAATTTACAGACAGCCAATCAAA